AGTGCTCTTGGGCCCCTCCCAGCAGTAAACACACTCTTGGAAGAGTACACCATTTCTGTTTAAAAGGAACTAGGGCTCCTTTGAGATTTGGGGAAGGAGGTAATACAAAATGAGTTTAGGATTTCCTGTGCCGCAAAGCAAGGCTGCTCCCAGAGAGACACCTGCCAGAGGGGCAGGGTGACAAAAGTGAAAGGCTCTGAATGGCCAACAAGTCAACAATTTCAACATCAAAAAGAATAATGGCTGCACTGAATAGAAACATATCAAATATAATAAAATGCATGCGCTTAAAACAGTATTAACACCCATTCCATTGGTCATCTTGAAGGTTGCTAGTACAATAACCCATTATTCTAAAAATACATCCATTCTGCCTTTCCCCTATGAACTGTATTTCAGGATAAATTGGTGGAGGGAAGTTATGTATCGAATTCCATCTAATAAATGCAGAAGAAATAATCGGCAATATCATAATGGTAGTGAAAGCCAATTGGTAAAAGACTGATGAAAATAACGGAGGGTTCAGCTGACCCTCTGAACCCATGAGTGACCCAAACTTTGCTAAGAGATATCAAGTGCCTCCTGGTGTGAAGCCATTGAATCCTGCACAATGCAACACAGAGCACTCTTGATGAGAAACAAACTGATCTGATCAAGTTTCTGGATGCGACTACTAATGCATACAAAATACAGGGGAAAGAGGAACATATTAAAAGAGAGAGTAGGGATGTAGTCATCCAAACCCCCATAGGGCAAATGACTGCTTTTTCCCAAGTGGGAAGTAATTCTTTTTTTAAAGAGGAAGGGGACATTGATATGGATTAGCAGACTTAAGACACATTTCCACTAAATGCAACATATAGACCTTGTTCAAACCCCTATTCTAGTTTGAAGTGTTACATCAAGATAGAGTTTCTTGGCAATTATGAAGCTAACAAGCAGTGACACGCCCCACACTTCCTCGTCCTGGGCATTCCTTCTGGCAACTGACGTTCCAATGTCTCTTCTGCCCAGACACCCCGTCCTCAAGACCCTCTAGCCCACTGATTTCCATGAAATAATGAGACACATCAGAGTAGGCATTTGTCCATTTCTCTTTGCAGTTCTGTCATTTTTATTTTATGTATTTTTGAAGCAATTATTAATTGCGTACAAGTTTAGATCACTAGCTCTTCCCCGTAAACGGAACCTTTTATCAGCCTGCCTTCCTTGCTGTGTTCTTCCTTGCCTCTGCCTACAGCCTGTCTGTTATTGATGTGGCTGCTTCAGCTAGTCTGGAAAGTCGTTCTTTGTGACTAAAGATCCAAACATTAAAAAAAAGTAAACACACATTTGTTAGAATGGCTAAAATCCAAAACACTAACACCACCACATGCAGGTGAGGGTATAAAGCAGCAGCAACACTCACTCGTGGCTGGAGGGGACACAAAATGTGGCAGCCACTTTGGAAGACCAGTTTGGCGGTTTCTTACAAACTAAACACTCTTACCACGTGATCCTGGAATCACGTTCCTTGGTATTTACCTAAAGACTTGAAAACTTGTGTCCACACGACAACCTGCACACGGGTGTTCACAGCGGCTTCATCCAGAGCCCCCAAACCCTGGAACAGCCGAGGTGTCCGTCAGCAGGTGAACGGACAACCTGTGGTCCACCCAGACAACGGGATGTGGGTCGGCACTAAGTAGGAACGGGCTGTCGAGCCGTGAAAAGACCTGGAGGGACCCTAAATGTATATTACGAGGTAAAAGAAGCCAGTCCGAAAAGGCTACGCACGGTATTATTCCAAGTCTGTGACATTCTGGAAAAGGCAAAACCGTGGAGACCGTAAAAGACAAGTGGGGGCCAGGGGCCGGGGGGACGGGAGGGACAGAGGGTTCAGGGCAGTGAAGCTACTCCGTGTGACACTCTCAGTATCGGGCACACGGATTACACGTCTGTCCAAACCCGCAGAATGTGCGGGCCTAGAGTGAGCCCTGAGGTTAACTATGGAACGTATCAGTATTGGCTCATCAGTTATAACAAGTAAACCACACTAATGCAAGATGTTAGTAACAGGAGGAACTGGGGGTGGGGGGATATGAGAACTACTTTCTGATCAGTTTTTTCAGCAAACCTAAAAATGCTCTAAAAATAGGAAATCCATTAACTCTTTTCCAAAAGCAAAAACAAAGTAGTGCAAGCATTCTATAATCTTGAAGATTAGGAAGCATTTTTTGACAAGAAAGAAAACCTCAAGGCATAAAGTATCGCCACGCAAAGGTATGAAACATTAACGTGAAAGACGTTATGCTAAGACACACCATCGATTAGGAGACAGCAATGTTTACAACAAGTAAAGTAGAAAAAGGATAACTTTACGAAGAGCTGAAAGAAAAGGGCCGACCACTCACCAGAATAAGGAAGGAACACCGCGGCACCGGCCAGGTGTCAGGGAGGCAGGTGACATTGAAGCCCAAAGGACAAAAGTCCTCATCCCGGATGGGGAGGGCAGCCATGGCCGCTGGGCCAGAGATTGCGGTGGATCTAAACTTTGGATCTACTAGATTAAAGCAGACCTACTCGGAGCCGGCAGTATTCTGGGACCCTATTCTGCATGGAGGGTGTGGATTGAACTGTGTCCCCCAAAGTCCTAGCTTCGGGATGTGAGCTGATTTGGAAATAGGGCTCTGGCAGATGGAGTCCCCCGGATAAGGTGGCTCTAACCCAACAGCATTGGTGTCCTTATAAGAAGATGGCCACGTGAAGACACAGACACGCAGGGAAACACCCATGACAACGGAGGCAGAGACCGAAGCCATGCGTCCATGAGCCAAGGAACACCAGAGGCAGGAAGAGGCAGGGAGGACCCTCCCCTCGAGGTTTCTGAGGCAGCGTGGCCCTGCCGATGCCTCGACCTTGGGCTTGTGACTGTGGAACAGAGACAACACATTCTGTTGTTTCAGCCGCCCCAGGAAACTGACACGACCCACGTGTATACAGGAGGCTCCCAGGAGATGTCCTCCAGCAGGACGCGTGTCCTGGAACCCCATGAAGCTGTTCAAAGAAGGGGGACAAAACCATGGAGAAGGACATGGGCCGCACGAGTCCACCACCGCGAGGAAAACAAACCAAGATCATGTGTTACTTACCTGGCACGGGATGAGCGCTAGGGTCAGGCTGAGCCGCTAACCAAATAGCCGTCGGGCCGGGGCCGGGTGGTGGGGGGAGCTCTGGCTTTTTGTCTGGTTCCCACGGAGATACTTTATCGGGTGAGGCTGATGTTGAACTGTAACTTGGAATAAACTTCACTAAAGCAACATGCACTTGGCTCTCTTTTCTAGACAAAAGTTGCCTGATTTGTTGGTTGAGGGACCCAGAAGCTCACTCCACCCTCCCCGACGGGTGAACGTCTGCACCTTCACA